GGGGAAATCTGCAAACATCTATAAACGAAACCCGTATCACATGCATGTATTTTTATTTATTTACGAATTGAGAATTTTAATAGTAGAACTATTATTTATACTTGGTAGATCGTAATCAACTACGAAACCTGATTTATTGAATTGTTGTTCCATCTTGTTTAACTTTTTTCAGTTTATAATTAAAGAAATATTAAAGAAATAAGTATAAATTATTAATTTACACTCCAAAAGTGATATTTTAAAGTAGTGATGCGAAGTTAAATATTTAAGGTTAAAATTTTACGATTTAGAAGTCGATAATGAAGTCAAAAGTGTACGATCTCAAGATAAAACTGAGTATTAGAAAATATACATTAAGATCGAAATCGTGACTGTACCAAAATATGTACACAGTTGTTCAAAATCAATTATGAAGTAAATCTCTTTTTTTTTATTCATGGTTTTGGACAGCTCTCCGATGAATCAATAGTTTTATTTTAGTTATTACTTTTAAGTACTTACTATTTATCTTCCAGATTTACTTAAACAATTTCACGAATCGATCAAAGAAAACAAAGAGATAGTTCAGGACCAGAAAATCAATTGCTTTATAGCCTGTATCTTGGAGAAAACCGGTAGTGTAAGTTGAACAAATATAAAAATCTCTTACTTACTGAATCATAAGCTAAAAAAAAATAAATATAAAACAAATCTGGGGAAATTTATATGACAATGCCATTTATATTACTATCCATGTTTCTGAATGAAGCACTGTTCCTATTACTTTTCTGACTTTTCATTTATCATTTTTCAGAGCCAGAACTTATTGTATGACTTGGATGCATTTGAATGTCAAAATATACTATAAATTAATTTAAAAACAAAAAATTTAACCGTTATTAAAATATTTAATAAATTTCAGTAATGTTTGGAAAAAAATTCATTAAATTTTTTTTTACTTGATCAATTAATGACTTTCGTAATTGTATTGGCAAATGCTTTAGATGAAGCCTAATGGGACCATTGATGAAAAAGTCTTGTTCTCTTCAATACCACCTAACGTACCTAAGGAAATAATTGACAAAGCCACAAAGTGCATACCTCAAGGTAAATCATTTGATTTAATCATCTATTTGATAAATTTCCTTATGTGGATTTGAAAAGGTTTTAAAAAATGAATTACATTAACATATAACCAATCTTTTAAATTTAGGAAATAATTATGATTATTTGGTTGAAATTTTATAGTTTCAGTTGAAACAAACCATTGCGAGATAGTTGGAAACTTTCTTGGTTACTTGATGAAGATCGAATCATTCCTGGATAAATTCCTGAATTGACACCTCTACAATTGTTGTTTTATTTTATTATGTAAACATTTTTTAATTATTTTTTATGCTTCTTTATTGATGTATGATAAATAAATTAAGCTTATAGAAAAAATTTGTGTATAACATGATTATTGCAGTTAATCGAGTTAATCGTGCTACGCTTACTTTTAGTATTAATTATTTAGATCAATGCAAAAAAGACAACCATTAAACATATGGATTTATAAGGTTGAACCTGTCCAACGAGAGGTAAACGTATAAAAAAACAAATAAACACTGTTTATAGTCATTTTGTAATGTCATGGAAGTTGTCAGTAGTTTCATGAATAATAAAAATAGTTCATTTGTTATAATGAACTTGACCCTAAGGTTCGTTTCAAGGTCCAAAATTTAAGATTATGTTTTCAGTGGAGAGCTTTATTTATTATGTCAAATTTGATGTTGGATGGTAAAAATGTAAACAATACGAGACTCTAAATGATTATTTTCTTTTTTTTGTGATCTTAAGAAGGTCCAAACAATTGAGTATTTAAAAACCACTCAGAATTGGCAGTCACAATGATGAATATATAACAAAACTGGTTATTTGTACAGTATATTGAAAAACCACGAAAATTGGGCCAAAAGGTAGCTGCCACAGATTATCATGATTATTCTTTGATATTTTGATGTCTTGAAATTTTTCTTCGTAGGAATTAAATTTTATTAGTAGTTATAAAACACCTCAAAATAATTAATTTCCTTTTACTTGTCTCTTAAAAAGAGGTGGAAGATTGTATAATTGATAATTAAAAGTCGTTGCGTGGGCGTATTTACTGGGATGAAAAAATGTTAAACAGGTGGGGATCAGCACATTACTAGACCTAGATTCGTGTTTGTATTTTTACCACTTATGTTTTCATACGTGGATAACGTAGGAGTGCGATAAACTTAACGATGTCACCATTTACGAGCCAGAAAAAATGAAGCCGTCCGTGAAATTACTGTGTGTTTACGATTTTTGGGTGCACTAAATAATATACAAATTAATAAGTATTGTAACCCCATGTCACTTCATTTCCTCCAATCCAGTGATTCTGTAAGTAAAGAATACAAAGATACAAAATAAAAAATACAACTTTGAAATTACGTAAGCCAATCTTTTTGTATCTCTCGGAAGAATAACTTTCAAACAAATNCTACAGAATTAAGCACCAAACGCGTCATCAAGATAAAATCTATTTCTATTTACAAGAAGCTAATGAAGGCCTGGGTCTGTGTGTCTCATGTGCTAAGTAAGAGTAATCGAGTACAAGAGTAGCGCCAAGGAGAGAAAAATGGACAAAAGAGTTGCGGGAATACATGCATCAAGAGTTACGGAGCACGAAAACACACACACATAAAAAAATTTTTTTTTTATTTATGACTAGGTATTTCATGAAGTTTTAATACTTCTGTTTTGTCCTCATTTAAATTACGTTATTTTTACGACCATTTGATTAAGGACAGAACAATTTTACTTAACACAACATTACTTTAAAAATAAATGATACTTAAAAATACGTCAAAAAACTTTATCGTTCACAGTCAGACGTAGATATGTCGTATTTTTATGGACGATTACCTTTATTCATTCATGTATGTATAAATCATCGATATAATCGTCTCCTTACTCGCACTTGTACATATCTATGTATAAAATACAGGTGTCAAAAATACACACAAGTGATTGAGTCATGCGTTGTTTTCCACCTTTTTAAAACAAAAATATCCATGCACGGCTTTGGATTGTCAATTATGTTATCCCCTGAAACAGGTCAAGAAACATAATAGAAAGTCGGGTATATAAAGAATTACTGATTTTTCTTGGGTTGACTTAATTTTTTGTAATAATCAATACAACACGAATTTCGCAACAAACATTTACATACATTGTCACAATGAAGTTCTTTGCTGTTATAGTTATGTGCGCTATCACTTGCCTTGTTGTTGCCCTTCCTCAAGTATGGAGTCATTTGGTTTTCTTTTACAATTATTTTGTCACACTTGTGATGAAACTTTTTATAAATATTTTGATAAAATTACTTACTTAATTTTTGATGCAGAGACTCTCTGACGAACAAGAGACCAAGCAGTTTAATCAGGAAGTGGAAAATTGTATTGCCGAAACGAAAGTTGAAAAGGGTATGGGCAAATCACCTATGTTAATATTAAATTCAATATGAAAACCAATTTTAGATTATAAAGAGTATGGATTCTTTTAAAAATCAAAAATTTTTATCTAAATTATAAATTTTTGTATTAAAAAAATATATACACTAAAGTATGCCTTCCTGATATGTATATGTAATAACATGAACTTGAGAATTTGTACATGAGATCAGAATGTATACGAATTTCCAAATATTTTTTTATGTATTTTGTCTATTAAAATATTTCACATGCATTTAGTAGTCAGTATATTAGTGGCATTTTCTGATCAATCGAAAATTTAAGTAGGAACCCTTTGCTTTTAATTCATGCATCTGGTTCATTACGTCGAAAGTCGTTATGAGAATATTAAAATAAATAAAAAGAAAAAAAAGATCGACCATAAACCTGATTAATTATACGTCTGGTTCAAATAAGAATTGGTTTTAGTGTGGATTTAGCCCTTATAGGTATAGTAATGGGTTAAAAAACTCGTTTTTAATTGAAAAAAAACTTAATTTTTAATAAAAATAAAAAGTCTTGTTTAAAAAAAAACGAATTTTACAGCCCGAATCGTAACTACATGCAAGTAGATTCGGAAAATCGATTCTATGAAACGAGAAATTAATTATGGCCTTTGACTAACATTATTTGACAGCTCTGCATAAAATGATAAGTTTAGAAGAAAATTGTTAAATAATGTGATTATCTTTTAGCAACACTTTATCAATTCGTTAAAGAGTTCCAAGAAAATGGAGAGATGATCCAGGATGAGAAGCTTCACTGCTTCATAGCCTGTTTATTGGAGAAAAACGATGTTGTACGTTAAAAAAATACTTTTATGTTTCGTGGTTATTTGATCATTGCTTTACAATAATCAAAGTTTACTTGGCAATTTTTTTATTTATATGATGATTTCATTGTTATTTTAGCAAACATATTACGTAATGTTATAGAAAATGGAGAATGGAACTTTTTTTATGGGATTGTTTGATTAATCGAATGTCTCTTATGATAAATGTTTTAGATCAAACGTAACGGGACTATTGACAAAAATACTTTGCTGTCTGAAATGCCAACTGACATGCCCCAGAAAAAAATTAATGAAGCCACGGAGTGCATACCTGAAGGTTAGTTATTTCAATGAATTATTTGTTTTAACAATCATAATTTCTAAGAACTATGTAGGTTGATGAGTGAAATTCTTACTAGTGAGAGTTTGACAATATTATTGAACTAAATTGCACGAAATTACAGCTATGCTTTGGAATTAAGAAAGTGTTAATCTTTTGGGTAAAATTATTTTAGTTGCAGGTAGAAATAATTCCTGTGAGACCGTCGGAAGAATCTATACTTGCTTCATGAAGATAAAATCATCTCTGTAGGTTTGACCTTACTGGCGATACCTTGAAAAAATTTGTTTACGTTGCTTATTTTTTAAGAATTGTCAGTTTTGTAATGTAACTATTTTAACTGCACTACTTTTTAATTTCTTGTAAAAATCAATTAAATATATGCAAAAAAATGTACATCAATTAATTTATCATTGTAGTTTTCTTTGTGTTGATATAATTTTAATACGTCGTGTATGTTTTAATGACCATATTAATTTATAAAGTTGAAAATGACAAGTAAGTATCTAACACAACAAAGATCACAGAACACAATTAAGGTTTTTGTAAAGAAATAATATTTATTGCCACCAGCACATTTAAAAGATTTCAAATGAATGTATAAATTTGTGATGGTTAACATGTGACTCTCAAGTACCTTTGGTTTTTGTTAAAAGGTTATTTTTATATTTTTGGCTTATGATGAACATATTGGGTGTTTCCGTGAAGCATGTTTTTTTACTTCCGAGTAATTTTTTATTATTTTACTTTTTTTTTTAATTTAGACTTTTACGGTGCCCTTGGTGAAAAAGAAAATCTAGTTCGCTCCCTGATGTGATAATCATAAAGAACCCTTTTGCCTCCAGACCTGATTGTTTTGGAGATTCTTCAGTTATTTGTGTTGTCTCCGTCGATGTACATACGCATTGTTGTATTACATAATATATTATTATATTATATTTTATTTATAATTTTAATAACTTCAACTCACTTTGAATAAAATTGCTTTATTTGTATTTACAATCATTTGATCAAGGAAAACGTACACTGAATAATTAAAAAAAAAAAGGCCAACATGACCTCAAAATTGCAAAAAAAAAAAAAATGCCTACAATTTATAAAAATAATATGTCCCCCACAAATCAAATACTCAAACCTTTAAATTAATCCATGCTTTCGTATATTATAAGAAAGACACGAGCGGAATTACGCTTTTTTTTTAATCTCATTTTTTTCCGGTGCCTATATGCTTTAATTTCACGGGCGGCTTCCTTCATTCGTTTGTCCATAAATGCCATCGTTTAACCTCATTTTCACCCACACGTCGACAAACCTACCGCGTTAATAATACACACGGGGTATATATTATACCAAATAACTCCCACCTGAATTACACTATTTTCTATTTAGGGAAAAATGCTTATACGTGCGAGCTTTCAATCGTGACTTACACAATCCGCAGTATAACGAGCCCAAACGGAAAATCGGGTATATATAGAGTGCCGATTCCTCGCGAGTGAGCTCTTTGACAGTAGTCTGGAATACGCGCATTTTACATTGCATACTTGTACATAGAGTCGCGATGAAGTTATTAACCACCATTATTTTATTCTCTGTCGTAAATTTCTTCGTTAGTGCCGTTCCTGAGGTGTGGGATGAATTGTTTATAACTTTCCTTTGTTTTTCTCACTCTAATTTCGTGATGAAATTTTTTAATTTATCATTGGTTTGTTAACAGGGATTCACTGACGAAGAAATACATAATAACAAGATGTATACGTCGTACACTAACGATTGCATTGCTCAAACAGAAGTTGATGAGGGTGAGTGTTGAATGAAAACTTTATATGCATCTAATATAATTTTATCAGAAATTTTGGGGGAAACAAATTGTTGAATTTTATCGTAATAATTACTTCGAAAATCGTTAAATAGTTGTAGATGGCATGGATTTATTATTGGATAAATATTGTCAAAAGTACATTAGATTTAAAATTATTTTCATTTACTGTGAGGCCAATTTCAGCATCAATCGAGTTGATTGTAAATCAAAATTTAAACATGCATTAACTTGAAAAACTTTGGTCTGAATATAAAATCAAGTTTCCTTTAAAAATAGACTTTAAAAAATTTATATTCTGAATGATAAACATACTTAAAAGAATTATGATTCAGCACTGGTTCAAATAAAACAGCAAGTAGATAACATAGTGATTTTCGATTTATGGTTTTGCGAGAAACGAGTGGCTTGGGCACAATGGAAAAAGTATTTAATGGACTTTGAAACGGTTTAAAAAAAATTTTTTTTTCGGAATCAAAAGTATTGTTTTTGTTGATCACTTTTTTTTATTCAATAGTTGCAATAAAATATAGAGAAAAATGTATTTTCTAGGAGATAAGTGCAAAATAAATTTTATATATTTAAGTTTATCGCAAAGTAATTCAAATCAAATTTTCAATTTCTTTTTCTATGACNTTTTTTTTTTTTTTTTTTTTTTTTTTTTTTTTTTTTTTTTTTTTTTTTTTTTTTTTTTATGTAATAAATTCATACCTATGAAACGAGACATCGTCCAAAATTCCTCGATCGAGTTTGCAAATTTGACAAGATTTGCTCATTTCGTTTGCACTTTTCATTCCATTTACAGTGATAAACAACTTTTGCCAGTATCTGCTGTCAAGCTGTCATCATGATTAAGCATGCTGCAATTGCTGCAGTGATAGTCTACTTATATATATTGTACAATTTCCGATTCTGCTCTTTAGAAAACAACAGAGCAGGCTTTTTTTAATTATTTAATGAGATTTCTTTCAATTTCTCCTCATGCTGCATCGTCTTTGCGGACTTGCAGAACCAACGCAATCGTTTTCATTTATATATATTGTTATTATTATTGCATGATTGAATGATGCATCGTAAATAGAGTATCAGCGCCATCTAGCGTTTCGGATTTCGCGGACTGACGCAAACTATTTTCTAGGGGAACCGTCTTGAAAAAGTCCCTAGATTCTAGGGATTTCTAGAAGAAGTAAATCCCTAGATATATATAGATATACTACAGTAGGTCGAAAATCGCATACGTCAAGGGTCTATTTGCGTGCATCGAAATACACAATGCTTAATTGAACTTATATGTACATGTGTTGCGCCAGTAAACTACCATCTAATTTTGTACTTTTGTAATTGGGCCTCTGTCCCGTTGATTAAATAAATAAATAAATAAATAAATAATTGTTTTGACAATTGCTCTAGTTGCTGGAGGATGGAACCATTGATGACAAAGCCTTACTCGACCATTCTCCAAATATGTCCCCAGAAAAATTGGACAGAGCCATGGCATGCTTAACTGAAGGTGAGTTGTTTAATTTAACAATCAAAACCACGAAATATAATTTAGTTTGATGGGATTCAAATATTTGTTGTGAGGATTAAACAATTTTTTTCAAACTAAATTATTCAGGGTATAAACATGAGTTTTAACTAATACTTGAAATAGTTTGATTAAGATTATGCATTAATTTCAGGTAAAAAGGGTTCCTGCGAGATTGCTGCGGACTTCTTTGATTGCTTAATGAAGGTCCAATCATTTTCGACTTGAATTAACGACGCCTTAAAAATTTTCCATTACCTTTATCACGGTAATTTGTCGTCTAACCGTCGAGAGTTTTACACCACGATTATTTCAATATACTTTTAAATATAAGTTTGTAGATAAATTAACTTTTTTTTAAAGAACTTGAATCATTCATTACTGTTGTTTAGTCTTATTATAGTTAATGTTATTGCGCACATTTGTAAAATAATATTTTTCTTTTTCTATACATCGAAGCGTTGTTACTAAAATCATTGAGGTTTTACAGCTAAACATTCATAATATAGTGTGTATTGAACACAAGAAAATAATTTCGAATTATAAGCTTGAAGTTTATAGGAGCAAGGGTATGATCTTTTGGAACGATTTTCTTGGAACGAATTTCCTCAATGTGCACAAAGCAATTACAGGAAAATTGACAACAAGAATGATAGGAAAAAAAATCAGCATGTTCTATGTTTATAAAAAATACTCTACAGTATATTTATTATGTACGAAGCTTATCAAATAATTTGATCATACTTTATCTTAAAAAAAATGTATGTAGAAACAAAAAAAAAATGTGTGGCGACAAGTACAAACTAAATGGTTCGAATATAAAAAGGCGTGAACTAATTTACACTGTACATCGAAATGTCATCTTCATCAGCTGCAACTTGGTCACTTGTGATCCACGGAGATTCTAGGCTTACGGAATATATTGCTGAACCTGCGGCTTCGTCTCGGTGTCTCTGAATTGTTCCTCGACCTGACCTTTCTCTTGACCTTCTCACCAGTCAGCAAACTCTGACTCAAACTGTCGTTCAGAAACTCTTCCGGATTTCCACTCTTGATGTCATCCTCGGTCAGAGTAGCCGGCAGGTGCTGCACTTCAGTAGGGTAGGACGACTTGAGGTGCGGCTTGCACTTGGAGTTTCTCAGCTGCAAGATCGATAGCCGGTTGACATCGACTGTCGACAGGCTTTCCCGGGGCCTCTGCATGTCAGTGAGATAAGTAGTGTCAAAAACCTCGCCCTCCTCGTCCTCGTTACTAAAAGCGTTTCCCATAATCTGGAAGCCGCGGACGTGCTGGATGTTGTTCTTGCTGCTGAATGTGATGTCGGACAGCTGTGAGACGTTCATGTCGGGCTTGGGCTTGGTTGGTACTGCCGTGGTTCCACCAAAGGGTTGGTTTTCGATGTTTTCGCACTTGGTTTTTAGGTCTTTGAACCTCTTGTGGAAGTCTTCCTTCTTTTGCTTCTCAATGATGAGCTTTTCACCAACGTCCCACAGCTGGGTGGTCAGTTCGCCTATGTGTTTCTTGTACTTCTTCAATTCTTCTGTATGGCTGAGACATTGGTATTCGAACTTTGACTGAAGGGAGTCCACTTTGTTCTTGAGGGCGATTTCTTGCTCCTTTTTCAAGATCGTTATCTGATTGTTGAAGGCAGACTTCATTTTCTCCTTCATCTTTTCGAGCTTCGTCTCGTACTTTTCGTGGAGCTCTTTTACATAGTGTTGGAACTCTGGTGATCTACTGATGTCTTCGCTCGACAGTTTAGTTGGGATTTCATGTTCTTCGTCCTTGAAACTATCCTTCTCAACTTTAATATTCGTAGGTGTTAAACTCAACTTTGCCTCGTAAGACTTAACTGAAGAATCAAAATCGTTTATTTTTTCTCTAACATTGAAGATTTCGTCATTTATTTCTCTTTGCAGCAAACTCAATTTAGAACTGTCTGGCGAGTCAATATTTGTAAAAACATCTGAGAATCCGTTGGTCAAGTTTTTCGTGATATCCGAATCATACTCTTTGGAGAGTGAAGTCGTTCCAAAGCTAAGATCTTTCGTCAACGTTGCAACCATCTGCACGGTGGAGGCGAGATGCATCGATAAAAGTTTAAGATTTCGACTGTAAATTTCTTTCATGTTACTCTCAATAGAATCTTTTTCTGTAAGAAGTTCCTTCAATTCTGGCTGCGTCAGAGATTCATAATTTTTAGAGACTTCTTTAAATGATTTCAATGCTAAGCTCCAGCTATCATTTAATAGTGATAGAGTCTTGAAAATTTTTGAGTCCGATTGTATGGAGTCAGACAACTGAACCCACGTTGATTGTAGCGATTTTAACTCATCCTGAGTGAATGAAGAAACTTCGTCATCGTTGTCAGTCTGGATGGAGATGGATGAATTACTTTTTTCATCCGTTTGAATCGGTATAGACAAATACTCCTTGACATCCGTTTGAATGGAAGTAGAAAAGTAATTTTTTGTGTCAGTTTGAGCAGATGTAGTAAAATAAATCTTCACATCCGTTTGGGCTTCTTTTGAAGAATAATCCTTATTGTCTGTTTGCACGTACGAGGAACAATAATTTTTTACGTCTGTTTGAACTGTTGTAGAAGAGTAATTTTTTTTATCTGTTTGTACAGATACACTAGATAATTTTTTTGGCTTTGGGACGTTAAACTTCACGCTACAATTGTTTTTTACGAGGTTTAACAATTCAGAATAAATTTCATTACATGAAAAACCTTTGTACTGTGTCACACTAATCAGAGACGTATCCAAATCATTTTCTTTGCCAGATTCTAACTTTAGCTTTGTTATTTCTTGAAGTATAACTTTTAAGAGAACAAACAAATTTCCATTCCAGTACTTTTGCCAAAAAGCGTCGTAAAAAGTACACGTAAATTTGTCAACATGATTTTCTCCATACTTAAATGTCACTTTTAGTTTTTCTTTATAATCGAGTAAATCCATGGCGTATTTTTTCTTACTTTTCATGCTCGTGAGATTATTTAATTTTACCACAGGAGTAACAGAGCCATTGAGAAGATCGAAGAAAATAATTCTCTTTGAGTCTTCTCTGAAGACATTTGCAAGAGATGATTTTACGTCTTTACTTACATGAAAAGAGTCGAGACTTTCTTCATCTTCAGAGTTTTGATTCGCCAAGACTTTAGCTTGTTTTTTCAATTTATTGTACTCTTCGATGAGCACGGTAAGAATTGAATTTATATACTTAAAGTTATTTTGCATAGCTATCAAGTCCCTCCGAGTCTCTTGCAGCTGTATATCAACTACAGAGCTTAGTGTTTCACTTTTATTCAGAGACTTATTAAAAGACGACTCATTCATACTTCTGTCATCGTACTCGCAGCTTACATTATTTAAAAATACCTTTGACTTTTCCTTCAAATGATTGCACAACTCTTCATGCCTGAGTTTCAATTCGGCCAGCTCTTCTTCTTTTTTCTCTAACTGAAGCAACATGGATTCAATGGCTTCTCTGTTGCTATGATTTTCGTTCTTCATTGCACTGTATTTTTCTTTGTAAATCTTGACTTTGTCGGCCAAGTGACTTTTTTCATCCTGCAGCTGGACATTTTCATTTTGCAATTCAGACACGTAGCTCTCCAAACTCTGAACTTCCCTCTTGTAAGTTAGTTCTGTGGATGTGCCATTGCCAGTTTTGCTGAAAAAATCTGCTTCTTTAGCCTTATGATCAACTTGACGCAACGCTTTCAACTCAATCAAGGTGCCATGCAATTTCTTTTGCAACTCTTTAATCTGTTTTTCTTGAGCTTTTATATCTTCCACAAGTTCTGACTTCTCATAGGACATGGTCTCAATCTCGGCTCTCAATCTTCTTAACTGCCTGGATTGTTCATGAATTTTACTGTCGCTGTGGACTGTCCGCATTATGGGGGATTTCAAAAACTCCTCCAGCAAAAATCTAGGCTTCAGTGCTGGCGACTCAAAGTCTGGCTTTTTTTGCAGCGAGAAGATCTTGAAAAAATCCTCCTCTGTCACCTGCTTGCCCAAAGGGTACACCGATTCGAGCACTAACTTTACTTTTATCTGCATGTCAGCACTTAAATTGGCACAGAGGGATTTGTGAAAAATCGGCTCCAACGACAACCGCGACAGTACCAGTGATGCGATCGACAGCTTTCTGAGTCTCTCGTTTTTGTTTTTCAGTGAAAACTTTGGGTACTCGTCGTGTAAAAACTGGAGAACCATTTCTTTCTCACTGCCATGATATTCCGTGGAACTCCAGGGCTTAACTTGGCTAATCAACTTGTGATAGACCACTCCATCCTCCAACTGGTCCAGAGTGGCGATGCGGTCCCCATTTGTCTCCCACAGACAGTTGATCCACTGTAAAACAAGACTCTCCCAGGAATCCATTTTGACACTTCACACACACGCGCGTTTTTTCAGTTGAGTACCAGTTTCTCAACAGCTTTGTCAAATTCAATTGCTTACAAGCAGATAAAAGACACTTGGACAGTTTCATGAAAACAACAGCCACTTTTCGGTATGTAAACATTGAGCCTCCTTTGTCGTGTCTCCCCTTTGCCCTAAAAAATAAAGATAAGTCAGTCGTGCTTTCCTTCCCGTCAAATGAACAATTAATTTACAATGAAGAAAAAGTTACCTCGAGCATTGTCCTCATCTATAATTTCTCGTGGTAAAGGGGTAACGATTCCGTGGATGCGAATCGGCTGACAAATGGCTGCATATGAAAGAAGTGTACCACTCCCTCAAAACGGTTAAATTCAAAATCGTTCGAATTTTGGTGCTCTCCTTTTCATTGGTGCAAAATTCGCCGTGAGCGCGTAATTTAAAATTGGAGTTGGTGCTGTTTTGGTTCAGAAGCGCGGTATACTTTTTTCCACAATTAAACTAGGATTATTTATACACTTATTTCACAATAAAATCACCTAATAACATAAAAAAGTATAAAAAAAAAAAAAAGTAAAGAAAATTTATCTCGAAAATGTTGAATCTAATAATGTGCTGTAAGCCCTTAAAAACACTGGTAACTAATTAATAAAGGAATCTAGTCAAAGTCCATGCAATATATATTTAATAGAAAAATACTTTATCTGTTTGCTACACTTTAAGTAATTATTTATGATTATAAATACATTAACATTTACCACTTCAAATTACAACATTATATAAAAATGAGAATCTCGACTCATAAAACTAAAATATCTTTCTATTGACTTTTTGTTTCACACTTAGCCCTTTGTCTTCGTTTGATTTCTTCTAAAAGTTTTTCTAAGTAAGTGTTCTTGTCAGAGAGACTTTTCATTGTCTTACTTGCCAATCTTTCATTTTTCTTTGTATCCATAACATAGTTTTTGACCATTTCCCAAGCAGCATCAGAAGTGAAATCTCTCCTTGTTAGATCCCCTACAGTACGTGCATTACTAAAACGTCGTTTCTTTCTGGGGATTTCAGGTTCATTGTCTTTTCTGAAACAGAAATATTATATTACAGCAAACAAAACAAAAGAAAAACTTAATGGTACCTGGATTCCAAAAATTAATGAAAGTAAAATATACATTTGCATATAGTAGATGATTAGGTAATATTACCTTTTTGATGTTGACTTTTTGTTCTTGTTCTTTTCTATAGCATCCAATTCATTAATGGTGTAGAAAATATTACAGAGAACATCTAAATTCTTGTCCTTAACATCAGAGCATTCAACTTTAACAGTTTCAGTTTCTATTTCATCTGTAATAATTGGCTGTTCAATCTCATTCAAATTTTTATCTGAATCTTCGATTTTTATTGAAATTTCACTGTCTGCTTGGGATGGAGAACTATCACCATCATCACCATCATCATCATCAACTATAATGTAGGCATTATAAATACCATATTTTCCTGGCAGACTCACTATTTTTTGGTTTTTCCGACACCATTCTTCATTTGCATGTTTTGAACGTTTACTAAAAAAATACAGCAACAATAACAATATAATCATTCATATAGCACGGCTTGATGATTGAATGTTTTAGAATGTCATACTCATTGATTATCTCTGCTGATGGCACACTCGTGTTAAACAAATACCTCCTGACACCATTGCCAAATACTTTGTAGTAAAAATTCTTTTCTTCAAAGTGCTGACTGCACACATAGCCACGGTCACTAATTTCTTTACCTATGGCTGCAGACCATTTGTCTCTCATTTCCTGCTCTTTTGGAAAGCTTAAATAAACAAATCAACCAATTTTAAATCAAAACATAATATAATTAACATCATCATAGAAAACATCTAATATAAAAAGTATTTTTTTTACAAATCAACAAAAATTTTCTACAATAAACAAGTCAATAATAATGTACATGTAAAAAAATGTTTTTAACCTAGCATTCGAAGGATGTATTACTTGATGCCCCAATGTATTATTATAATATCAGACTCAAAGAAACGTTTTTTTTTTTTTTTTTTTTTTTTTTTTTTATGTAATAAATTCATACCTATGAAACGAGACATCGTCCAAAATTCCTCGATCGAGTTTGCAAATTTGACAAGATTTGCTCATTTCGTTTGCACTTTTCATTCCATTTACAGTGATAAACAACTTTTGCCAGTATCTGCTGTCAAGCTGTCATCATGATTAAGCATGCTGCAATTGCTGCAGTGATAGTCTACTTATATATATTGTACAATTTCCGATTCTGCTCTTTAGAAAACAACAGAGCAGGCTTTTTTTAATTATTTAATGAGATTTCTTTCAATTTCTCCTCATGCTGCATCGTCTTTGCGGACTTGCAGAACCAACGCAATCGTTTTCATTTATATATATTGTTATTATTATTGCATGATTGAATGATGCATCGTAAATAGAGTATCAGCGCCATCTAGCGTTTCGGATTTCTCGGACTGACGCAAAGTATTTTCTAGGGGAACCGTCTTGAAAAAGTCCCTAGATTCTAGGGATTTCTAGAAGAAGTAAATCACTAGATATATATAGATATACTACAGTAGGTCGAAAATCGCATACGTCAAGGGTCTATTTGCGTGCATCGAAATACACAATACCTTATTGCTCGAGATTGATGGTCACATGCATTTAAATTTGCCAAAAATGTAACAATAACAAAATTGTCACCCACGCATGCCTCGCATTGGTTATTTTTGCGTATACCTACTTATATATCGAAGCACGCAATATATAGACCCCCTATATAAGCCCAAATTAAGCTCGTCAATCGAAATTTCATTTGGATCTAGCGCCATCTAGCGTTGCAAACACTGCTGTACCGACGGTCATCACGAGATAAGAGGGATACCTGCAGTTCGACTGAGTCAGCCAACCGTCAGTACAGCAACGATATCGGGATTGTTGTATTGACAGTAGACCGACACTACCGACGGCGAGAAATACTGCAGGTGTCTATTTGCGTGCTTCGAAATACGCAATATATAATATAAGTCTCGAGATTGATGATCACATGCATATGCATATCACTTACATATGTAAGTATAACTAAAAATACTAAACTTTTTCAAAAATGTAACAATTTTCACCCACCATCAATCTCGAGCCTTATCGATGCACGCAAATAGACGTACCCTTCAGACGTGCACGTCTGCGATTTTCGACCTACATACATGTATATCTATATAAATATATAGTGATTTACTTCTTCTGTAAATCCCTAGAATCTAGGGACTTTTTCAAGACGGTTCCCCTAGAAAATAGTTCGCGTTAGCCCGTGAAATCCGCAACGTTAGATGGCGCTGGTACACTAAAAAAATTTTGGTTAATTGCGGTTAGGCATTTTTGGAGAGATTATAGAATAGATAAAGTACAATTCGGAATTTGGAGCCGCACCGAGAAATTAGGGTAAATGCACTGGCAGAGTTCTTTTATGTACAAAAAGTGATTTAAGTAATTATTAATCTTTATTATTTTCAGTTCCATAGTGAGGCTGGGTAATGCAGAGAAATTAGAAAGGGAGTTAACACACGCTCGCGGAAAGTAGGTAGGTATGGATTTTAATATAGTTAGAATGATTTAAAGATGTAGATTTTTCTCGCCCGTACTTGATCTTTCCATCGCCTGCATTTTCTCTCTCTTGCTATTGCTGTTCTCTTTTCTCTCTGTCTTGAGCATCTCTTTCTCTCTCTTTTCCTCACCTTGCTGTCGTGGACGTCGCGGATCGCGAACACCGGCTCACTACATTTTCTTTCCTCCAGGTTCATCTTTCTTCCCCTCCATTATATATTTCTACTTTTCCTCTCATACCTCGATTAATGCACACCTCATAACTTATAAAAAATTTTCATTAAAAGAATTTCTATCCATTTATCGACTAGAAAGCCGCGTGTTTGGCGTGAGTTTAGTGGTTTAGTGTTTTTCCGCTTTCTCAAATCAATTATATTGTATGATCTGTTTGATCTCTATATTAATATTTGAGTTTGTGATCTGCAGATTTCTAAGAGACAACTTTGAATTCAGAGACCAGGGGCCACACTTTGTTCGTTGATCAGCCCATAAAAAGCATCATGGGTGACGAAGAACTGCCAGCAGGATGGGAAAAACGTCTGAGCCGCTCTACTGGTAGGCATGCATTCATCAAATGTTAAACACACATTGCTATGGTAATGTCAACATAATTAATTTTTTTCACAGGCCAGCATTATTATTTAAATGTTCATACGAAGGAGAGTCAGTGGGATCGACCAGACAAGCCAGCTGCTCCTGGAAATGGCAAGTCTGCAGATGGGCCAGACGAGGTGGAATGTTCTCACATACTAGTCAAGCATGTGGGCTCTCGTCGTCCCGCATCTTGGCGGGAACAAAACATAACCAGATCCAAGGCTGAAGCTCTAGAGATCATTAAATGTAAGCTATGTCGATTTTTCATAGCTTTGGACTCTGAGTGTACAATGTGACAGTGAACAAGTTCATTGACTAGCATTACTGTTTTTTTTTTAGCTTACAGAGAACAAATTGTGTCAAAAGAGGCAGATTTTGGCGAACTGGCTGCCAAGTACAGCGATTGCAGTTCCGCTAAACGCAACGGCAACCTAGGCCCGTTCGGTCGGGGTCAGATGCAAAAGCCATTTGAGGAGGCTGCTTTTGCCCTTAAAGTTGGCGAGTTGTCGCAGCCAATCGACACCGACAGCGGTATCCACATCATTGTTCGACATGTTTAAAATCATTCGTCATTATTTTACAACTTGATAATCACTTTTTTAATAAACAATGAACCGGGTAAGAGTAAATTAATGAAGGATTCGTGTAAGTCATTGAATTTTGCACCAAACAAGTTAAATTCCCTTTAATGGGTGTTGGCAATTCGATTTTATTCTTTTTTGTTTATTTTAAACTTCATTACTGTTTACATCTCATTACAATAGATAATTTTAAATTTGCAAAAGGTAATTTCTTTGGTGTTGAATTGATAGCGACAGTTTTTTTACTATCAACATAGTAGATTAAGAATTCTTTGAAAACATCATGAATGAACTGAATAATTTTAACATTTATGAATTAGTTGTAAATATACGATATTCACAAGTCCTAGACCTAATATTTTGTATCTGTAATCACATTAAGCAGTTGTCATTTCATTTTATCATGATAGCCAAATTTAAAATACTTCAACTTTTTGTTGTACCAAAAGATTTCGTATTAAAAAAAATATTTAAGAAATCTTCTAATAATAAAAAATTTTAACAAGTCGACTCAATACGCTAAAAACCGACGTTGAAACCAGAGCTTCCCATTGATAACGTCAAGCTCAAGGGAGTTGCGCTCTGAGTTAACTAGGGATTTAAAACGAAATCGAACGATTCCAAATTAATGGACTTGTATAAGCTTTTGAATGCGCTTGATGACATTTAAATTTTCTAAGACTTTGGTTGTTAGTTGGATAACGACGACGATGCTAATGTTGCCTGGCACAGAGCACGAGAAATAAATGAATAAATTCATCCGCCAAATCATTAAGTTTTATATCTTTTGTAAAGTACCTTCATATTTTTGGAACACACTTCGACAAGAGCCAATACAGCACATATGTACTTGTTAATTCTGATGATTTTTCCGAAAATTAGCGGATCAGAGGGTTTAACGTATAAAAAGTCAGTCTCAACCGTTGGCAATACATCAAGGTAATATTTTTAATATTCTGTTTTTTTTCTGCAGTAGAATATAATTTTTAATGTTTATCTTGGATGATTATCAATTTTTAAAGACAACCAAGCCTTGATAGCATCTACTCAGTCATATTATTTTATTTGAAAAAAATGTTATTTATTTATTTATCTGGAAAGGTAAATATTAAAGTCCAATAAACATCACAATTTTTTCTATAAAAATGTATTTACAAAGATAGTACTTCAACTGTATTTTTTACAGTCATCTATCTACATCCTGCAGAGCAAAACAATACTCTTGAATGGTGAATTTTCGATCTTGATATACATATCATATTTACAGAAATAGTTCAAAACATTTTTCTTAACATTCGTTATTTATATCTCCATTTACAGATTACATTTTTTAATTCATTAATAAAATTTATGTACGTATAATTAGCCAGAATTCTCTTTGACCGCTTTGGCGTGACGAAGATTTTTAAAAACGCTTTATATTATTGATTGGAGCTCTAATGAACAATTTTCTATCACAGCAATTAGAGATAAAGAAAAGCGTATAGAGTTTATGTAGTAAAAATCATCTATTAGATTAAAGCAGTCAACAAAAGCATATAATAATTAAGTCAAGGAAAAAAAAAACTGATTTTGTAATAAAAAAAACAGTATTCATTACTCAGAATATACAGTTATGTCAAATATACATAGAGCTCCTCAAGGCTTCGTCATGCATTCATCTACATCTAGTCTGATTCTTTATCATCCCTATCTATTTATACATGTATTCGATAGAACACAAGACGCACTCGAGTCACAGACATTGGCATCAATTATTTTAAATATGTTACATACATTTTTTGTTCTTTTTCCTATCAACTTTCACTAGACAAACTGTTCGGTACTGCTGGCACCAGCTTCTAGTAGTCGCCAGGCAGACTTTGGATTCAATTCCGTGGGATCGCGACATAACACCCACACATAGTTGACACGCAAGATTTTATCAGGGTCACCCTCAACGACGTTCGATTTCGCGTCACGTATGCACATTATCTGCTGACACGTGAAATTTATGGCTAAGACTGGGCCTTGGTCCATCATTTTGCCCATTAGTAAATCCACGTTTTCAATATCTACAAATAGATAATAAAAAGTGAAATAAAAAATTGCATTCGAGTTTTTACATTTTTTTCCAGTTTGTTTTAAAATACGTACCAAGAATTTTATTGTCCAAACGATAGCCCATTTTCAACGCTTGCTGTATGGGCTGGGAAATGACATTGTAAGGAGCTTCATGACACCAGTCTTTCAAAACTTCAAGATTTCCACGCATCCATGCTTCAAGAACGTTAGGGATGATGTCAGTTTCACAATCTTTGAGGAACTTAACTTTGTCAAAATTAGGATCGAGTTTACAAATTTCTGTCAAAGTTTCTGACAGCTCAGTCTTCTGGAACATACCACCAACGATGTCGGTAACTTTGTCAGTGAGTAACCTTGAGGCTCTTACAACGGGATTTTCTGATTCTTCGTATTTTATTTTCCAGTCTAGCACTTTGTTCACGTATGGATTTTTGTCCTGTACATTAAAAACACATCAATCAATAATTGATAAAAAAAAATTTGAACATAGATTCTTGTTAAGTATTGTCAAAAATGACCTTAAAGTTTTGCCACGATTGATAAAATTTCGAATCTTTGTGCAATTCCACTCCTGTAGCATCTAAGTTAGCTTCCACTTGTTTGTCAGAACTGATGTCTCCTACTTCTTTTCTTTTTCTCAATACTTTGGGTGCACTGTATACTTTACCTGTGGTTAAGATACCATAATGGAAGATTAATCAAAATAATTATTGAAATGTTGATAATTTAGTGGATCAATCGCACAAACCTTCTATACCCTGACTATCCAGTTCTTTTTTTACAGCCTCTGCTGTCTGTGAAATAGTTTGAAAGGCATTACTCTTTCCTAGAGCTTCACCTTTTTGGGTAAAAAATTTATCAGCTTCCTTAGCTGCCTTCGATATTTCATCAGTCAGAGCTCCCATTTTTTTTCCCATTTCAGTTTTGCTGGTTTCTTGTAAAACTTCTTCAAACTGTGATGAAAATAATCTTAGAATTGCCATTTTAAATTATCTAATAAAGAAGAAACCTTTACCAACCTTTTTACTGAACTCTTCGATCCTTCCTTTTAATGCCTCAGAACTTTTGCTGGCCTCCGATTCGACAGAGTGAAATTTTTTTCTTGCTGACTGTAATGCTTCAGAATGTTCTAATTTCTCAGCTTCTTCTCTGAACTTCTTCAAAGATTCTTTCATTTCCTTGTTTTTTTGCATTTCTTGCTTGATGTTGTCCAAGAATTTGGAAATAAAGCCAGGCCTTGCATTGGAGTAAAATCTGCATGGCTGATCTCTTATGCCAGCGTTTTGATTTTGATGTATACATACCAAACTGAATCTTGTCACAAGTGAATTTTGATAAAATATGTTGAATTTTGTTCTTGCATGGGCTGACCTTGTCACTACAGACAAACTCGATTTACAAGCTGAAAAATTCTGAAACTAAAAAATGGTGATGCTACAATGTAACATGCTTACATCATCTTGTAACTTGTGTTAACTGTTTGGAAAATAAATGAACATCATAGAATTATTGGGCCTCCAGAGTGACAAACAAAAACTATTAACTCTGAATCTTTTATCAACACTACAAAAAATGTGTGCGTAAGAAATGCACAGTTAAATGATAAATTTAAATTACAAAACTAAATTATAAAAATAAATAAAATTATAAAGTAATTAAATTTATGCTTTCGTTGAAAACTTTGCAATTTTCTGACCATATGTTTTTAAACAACTAGTTAACATTTATCAGTAAATTATAAATATTTTATACATTGTCTTATGTTGCACAAAAATATGACACACGAAAAATTTAAAGCTCGAGGCCCAAAAAATCAATGAAATGCAAGATAAACAACTATGAACTGTCAACTATTTCGTTCGGAGTACTGAAAAAACAAGCGATTTTTCCTGAAATCACGTAAGTGCATGTACTTAAAAGAGAAAAACCCGAGCAGAAATCTCGTGATCTAACACCCGTGGACGTGACATCCAAAAGAAACCTCCCATGAACCGAACTCAAAATTACGTAACCAAGTCAACCCGAGCCCTTAAAGCTCAACCTCGTCATCGACAAAGTCAACGATTTGCCTGAGCATGTTATCAATCAATTATTATTAATGTAGAAAAAAATAAAATAAAACTCTGATTCTCGGGAAACTGTCACACCTAACCTCTATCTTTCAGTACACATCAAAAGCCGGTTTGTTGTTTAAACAAATTTCAATGAGAAAAACACTGATGATTGATTTTGAAAATTCACGGCAACAAAATTTGTCTCGAGCAAACGTGTAGGCGTGACTCAACACTGATTTTAATTACTGGAACGGGAGATAATCACCATTTTCACCAGCTTAATTTTCACGTCGACGTGACCCCAACTTTTTTATAATAAATTTTTTTTCCTGATATCCTTTCTTTTCCCCCCACCACTCCACACAAAACATGCACTCACTTCACCAACTCGCATATCGATATCATACGTCGGTACTATATCGTCGGTAGCTAAACTTTTGATATATATATTCATATTTACAGAAATAGTTCAAAACATTTTTCTTAACATTCGTTATTTATATCTCCATTTACAGATTACATTTTTTAATTCATTAATAAAATTTATGTACGTATAATTAGCCAGAATTCTCTTTGACCGCTTTGGCGTGACGAAGATTTTTAAAAACGCTTTATATTATTGATTGGAGCTCTAATGAACAATTTTCTATCACAGCAATTAGAGATAAAGAAAAGCGTATAGAGTTTATGTAGTAAAAATCATCTATTAGATTAAAGCAGTCAACNTATATATAGTATTCATTTTTTTTTAAACATCATGACTTTCAAACAATTCCGCTAAAAGTCGATTTTTTTTTTTCAGGTGAAGTTAGATAAGTTTTGAGTCAATAAAAAATACGTAATTGTGTTAGTGAGTGTGTCGAAACATTTCGTTGTGTTTTTTATAATTTATTTGTAATTTGTAATTTGTAATTTTTTAAATTATTTCTCGTTAATCCAATTTCAACAAAATAAAGTGAACGTCTTCTTAAAATGTAGTAGGTACACAATATACACATTATATTTTTCTCAACAACATTTTTACATCACGTTTTCCAATCAAAGTCTTGTAACCTTGCGATATATATATGTATTTTCATGTAAACATCAATACAATTAAAACTTTTAAAGTCCTGATTCCTGGTGTAATGTAGAAAGTTGTAATAGGTACTATTTTCTTTGTGCTACCATTAAATGGGTCAATTAGTTGACAAGCAAAGTTTCTCTCAAGCCCCTGTGCATCTTAGCAGTGAATAATCAATTTGTACAACATATTTTGTTTTAGAACAGCAAATTTACGCTTCAAAGAGGAGCAACCGTCGTTTGTACCAGACAGACAAACCACAAATTTGATCAAATTACTAGCTAAGAAATATTTGGTGCCTGCTCAGAATGGAAGATATGGCAGAAGAAGTTCAGTTCGTGGTGGACGATGTCAGTAAAATAATTAAGGAAGCAATTGAAGTCTCCATAGGAGGTAATGCCTACTCCCACAGCAGAGTGAACCAGTGGACGTCAAACGTTGTAGAGAGTTGTCTGGGAAAGCTAGTCGGTCTACAAAAGGCTTATAAATATATAGTTACTTGCACAATAATGCAGAAAAACGGCGCTGGTCTGCATACTGCAAGCTCATGCTATTGGGACAATGCAACCGATGGCAGCTGTACCGTTCGCTGGGAGAATAAGTCCATGTACTGTATTGTATCGGTATTCGGCTTGTCCATCTAACTTTGCGTATACGTAATTTTTGTGTTTCAAATTTTTATCAGCAAATTTGTGGTTGTAATCTTTGAAAAATTCCAGTTGGATAACTTTCAACCTGTGGGTGTGAAGTATTTATGTCACTGTGTTTGTTTTACCTTTTTTGTTACACTGTGTCGTTTATACACAACTACTTAATTACAAGTATTTCTAGAGTTGAAATGTTTTTTCCGTGATTTTTAATCAAATTTTAGTAAGTCAGCTAAGGTAATGTTCTCGTCGTGATGTACCTCTGCGTGAAAACTGTATGGGACATACGTTATGTTGCAAATGCTGTATGAATCAATCGATTAGTTTATATTAAAAAATCTATTTATTTTTACTCAAATATGCCTTATACTTTTTAACTTCAATATAAAATTAAAAATTATCAAAGTAAAACTAACCACAAACGTTCTTATTTCAATTCAAAAAATACATATCCCTACATTTTAGTATTTACATATTATTATGTCGTTTTTCTATAACTTGATTATTTTTCGATGTTTAAATACCTATTTGATATCTTTTTTGAGCCTAAACCTTGTGCCATTTATTAGAAATATTTGCTGTTTGGGTATGGTTGTTTCAACAGACAATTAGCTTCAAAGAATTGTTTATTTGAAAAAATCGAGATTGTTTTCCATATGATTAGAAAACCTAATTCGTCTATGAGTAAAGAGCACAGATTCGTGAAGCAAATTAAAATGTTATCATGAGAAACTTCATGATGCAACACGAAAGAAGACGTGTTGAAGTTGAAGTTTAAGTGTTGAAAAAAATATAATTTTCTTAGTTTACCATGCTGCAGTTTGTTTTACTTTTTAGACGATTTCATTCAGGGTGAAGCATTGTTGCTTTGGAAACTATTCCCAACGTGCCATTGTTTATGCAGTCAAGTTTTCCTTTTCTATGAAATTTGTACACATTGAATATTGTTGAAAAATTCCGTAGTTGACTCTTCGAAAATGAGATCTTGGTCTCAACTTGTAAATAACTGTAATTTTTTGATAATTATTTAATTAACCAGAAAATTCGTCCAATCTTAAATAAAGTCCTAGTTCAGTCGAAACTCTCTAGCATCTCCCCAAAAATTTGCTACTAATATTCTTGTCAATACCTTATTACCAATCGTAAACTAAAAGATTCCAATTTGTCGGCAGTTTGATTTCTAAAAATAATTATTACTAGATCTTGTATTTTTTTCCAAAATCCTATTTACCAGTTGTAACGTGTAAAATCATGAAACATCAAATAATCTTTAAATTTTTACATTTAGTAGACTAATACTTTAATAACACTTGTTAAATACATTCTATAGTTTGGGAAACTCATACTAAACTAAGATTATTCATAATTAAAATTGAAAGTGATAACTTCTACATCTATTTTAAAAAACATGTAATTTATTATAAAAGACTTTGTACATATATTACATAATGAATAAAAANTTAAATGTATAATAATCTTATTCACTTCAGCAGTACTGCAGAAAAGTATTATATTGTAAATATTATGCAGTATTTAATGTACAAGATCAACAGTCTTCTTTTTTTTCTTTATTTTCATTGGAATTGGTGCTGGATTCTTAAATACAGTGCTAAAATAAAAAAAGTTACATTATTTCATGTTTCAGTTAATTATTGCATAAATTAAAGTGAAAAATTCTTACTGGCAAGTGGTGCAGATTGGACTGAATTTACAAAAAACTACAATTGCAAATGATTCATGAATACATTATTATTTTTTAAACATTTTTTAATTGAAAAAAATCTTACTTGACAGACAAACTGAGCAAACAAATCCAGTATCGACCAATTCTTGATGACAAAAGCAAGCTGCTCGATAGTCTACTTTCACTGGTGGCGGCAGTACTAATTTGGATCTAACTATAGGGTCTGGCAGGAACACCCACTGAATTTGAATTGGCATAAGTTTGGTAATTAGTTAAGTGCCAAAACCTAACTAAGCGTAAAAAATCATAATATTTATCTCAAGCATACAAGTAAATACTGAAGTAGTCCTGCTAATCCATTTTGCTGTGGAATTTTCAAAAAGGTTCCACCAGTCAAGTCACAACCTTGTTGCAGTAGTGTCAATTCATGGTCCAAACTACATACATCCAGCATCACCCCCTAGAAAGATGTAATTACATTAAATTACCAAAAAACAGATCATTTTGATGATAACTGTATTAAATCACATCTAAGAACATACCATTTTTTGAGCTGTGAAAAATACGTTCATATAATTCATGTACTGGGTTGCAGAATCATGACTGGCTGTTATGACCAATATCCTGGCATGCAACTTTTCCCCAGCAAATTTTTCTCTCTCTTGCCGTGCAACATAACTCAAGGCCATGGTCAAGGCACCAGATATCAAACTTTCATCACTACAGCTTTTTTTGGTAGCTAAGTCACTGATTATTTTGTGTATTTGTTGTCTCACAGTACATTCCAACTGAGTGAACTTTTCGTACTGGCCATCAAATTGTCTGACATCGGTTATCTTTTCCAATGGATATAGAAACTTTGCTCCTTGACTGTGACATGCCATTATCGCCAGCTGATTGTTGGATGTTTGCATCAAGTGAGCATTGGCAAAAACAATTGTAGAATCGAGTCCATGAGTCAAGACTTGTTTGACAAGCTTTTGCATTGGATTTACATCCAATATTATAATAAGAAGACTCTTATCTATTTCTGTAATGATTAAAGTGTCAAAATTGTATACATTGTAATAGAGTGCTTTCTAGTGTAATTATACTAGTCAATCGACTAGTTCATGTACAAATCGACATATTATTTTTTCTACTAGGGTTTACAGTCATTTTTGCAATCTAAGGCAAAAACTATTACTTATTCTTTTTTTCAGGATCAAGTATTTACGATTTTGTTATTTATACCTGCTGTCTTGTCCAAAAAAATATAATATTAATAGTATATATTGAGACATGTGTAAAAATATTTATTATCAACATAAGTAAGTAAAACTTCCAGGGTATTGTCAAATTGTGGAGGTACAATGAAACTTTGATTACTATTTTAAAGTTTATTAATTTTTCAGATTACGTTACACTAGCTAAATTTAGTTATTTACTGTAATCATTTCAAAAACTATATGCATTTCATTAAAACGATATAAAATCATTGGTATGACGTACCGAGGGACATGGTAGTTAAGTAAGCAATTTCTAAAATCCAATGAGTTACAGCCGAAAAGTCTCGTAAATTGTTGATAATAAATGTAAAAAAGCCCTTTTTTCAACTTCATTTAATACACGAAGGCGTGGATTAGGTGGATAATACGGAAACCCGGTCACGAAATCAGAATTTTAGGATCCACTTTTCGCTCAAAAATGAAGACCACTAGATGGCGCTGATACAAATAATTATTACAATTAATTAACTTACAGTAGGGCCATGTAATGATGCAATCGATTATAAACCAGCTGCAACTAATTTGATAGATAATAAAATAAAAAAGTTGACATTGTTTGTGCTATTTGCGGCAAGTATTCAATTTCTTTTACCCGAAAATCGACCTCCAAAAGTATAGATATTCTACTTATATGGTTTAATGAAGTATATAGGATAACTTGATAAGAAGAAATTGCAGTTCGTGTACACTGTACAGCAGAAAATATTTAAGCTCACTTCTATATACGCGCGTGATGCGTTTCGGATAATCCCCATATCCCCATTCCCCATTCCCCATCAATCCCCGAAAGAGCGCGAAGTTTATTGAAAAAGCGCGCGATAGGATTGTTACTTTTATTCTGCATTTCTGCGTCTAGCACAGCAGCGGAGAGAGCAGCCAAATCAAAAAGTGTATATAAGTATACTCGGTAGAATCTAAAATACAACGTAAAACTCGTAAAAGCTTCGACATTTATATATTGTGTACACGTAAAGCAGTCACGAAGTTTATAACGGATACAATAACAATCATTATAATTTAACAAGAGTAAGGTTGTGAAGTAAGCAGAGCTTTTGTTTTTCACTTTTGTGTTCTTTCTTACTTGTACATGTAACAACCTTTAACGAGTTGTATGTAAATATTATCCACTGTAAATATAGAACAAATAGAAAGTGGAAGTGAACAAGTGTTCAATAAGTACACCTTGTTTAGAGATTACTTACGGAATAGTAGGTAAGATTTAGAATTTTTTTCTTCAGGTTATGGCACCATACAATTCTTTTGGTAAACAAAAGTTACACGCAAAATATTGTATTGTTTCTACCGAGCTAATTGTCATTGTGTATAGGCTTTTTACTTGCGAGTAACAGTTGAGGGAGGTTGTAATTCGAATCGTTATCTGCTGTACAGTCGAGTGAAAACACACAAACTTCAAACATGTCTATTGCGATGAGTGAAAAAGCCTTTTCAACTTTGGACGAAGAAGAGGATGCCTTGTTAAACGAAGCGATCAGCTGCAGCAGAAACTTGGACGTCAAGACAGTCGATGACGAAGAAGAGAAGAAAAAACAGGTATCCTCAAAAGTAAACAGCAAGCTATGGTGCGAAATGACCTCCGACTCCAGCTCAAGCATGTCAGATCTCTCCACATCTAATGGCAAAATTGATTTGTCTATATCTGGCGATAATGGTAGCTCATCAGCCAATGGCCAGGTTTGCGATAAGCTCAAGGTTTTGGATCAAATAAACTCGAGCAAAATTGGTGAACTTAGCATTATGATCAAGCCTGATGAAGCTAAGCTTATTGAGGGCGAGTCGGCGTCTGTTATGATCAAATCTGAAGAAAATGAAACAATCGACAGCAATGCGGCAGAATCAAATGGTAGAAGTAAGATTTGTTGCGCAATTAAATGTTTAGCTCAGATATAATTTGCTACAGTTTCTTTCATACTTGAACTTTTTTTACAAAGAATTTTCAATTTCATTCTTTTGTAGTCCAAAAGTATAGTTTACCAATCATATAACAGAAAATTATTCTAGAATACTTTCTTGACAATGCTTTTCTTTTTTTATTATTATCTAATCTGACTGTTGATTGCTTGTTTGTTTAAAAAAGAAATAATACACAATTGCTAATTTTTTTCCTCAGTCATAACACACCTAATTAGTCATCCATGATTTAATTTTGCAGACTGTAAAAGAGTATATGAAGGAGAAAATAATGACTATCAAAAAGTTCCTAAAAATAGGCGAAACAGCACGTCGAGCTCTAGTACGTTATCCAGTACTGATCGCGCCAAGAAATCTGTAAAATATGAGACTGATCCAGTAGTATTAGCTCGCAGACAAAAAGATATCGATTATGGCAAGAATACCATAGGGTACGATAGATATACAAAGGAAGTCGCAGTGTATGTATAACAATTCACTTTAATTTTTTAACATTATGAACTTGAGAAATACTTATGGTATTATTTATTGACTTTGTAGTTTCGATCGAGCCAAAGAGCATCCTAAAACTCCTCCTATGCATTTAAAATGCAGTAGGCGAGCCTGGGATGGTATGATCAAACTTTGGCGCAAACAGCTTCATTTTTGGGATCCACAAGATCCAACAGAAGAAAAAGCCAAAAATGCCGAGGCATAGCAATATCATATAATTTACTCTTTAAGTTAATTGTGCCGAAGAATTCATTAAAAAATTGATATAAAAAAGTGAGTTTACTTGTATACAAACATTTTTATACCATAAAAAGGTAAAACTTTAAAATTAATATCGTACAGTTTATTTAGTTTTTTCACACAATAAAATAACGTATATTATATGGTAGTTCATTATTCTTGCAAGAAATTATATTCTAATTTTTGTAAAACTGCATCAAGTTTTTGGTTCATTTTTTCGTCCATCAACTTTATTTTTTCTGTCAGTCTTTGTTCTAAACTAGAAAACTTATCATCTATGTACAATTTCAACTCTTCTATCGGATACTGCAACGTGGAACTACCATTATACTCGGAATTCTTGTCTCCACCATCGAAATTACTAATCTTATTACTTTGCGGTGCTATTTCAGAAAATCTTCCCAAATTATCCACATACAGTTTCATATCGTTCGCCACCGAATCATTTTCACTGATGACAAAGGACTCCAAAAGTTTTTTTGCCATATCCATCTTATCACGCCTTGATTGATCAACATTGCTTAACAAACTATTAATTACATCACTGTTGAGTAAATTGCTTGCTTTTTCGGATGTGGGCTCGGTAAGGATTAGTTTTATTCCGTAGATCCACATGGTTGTTCCCTTATTTTTGGTACGTGTAAACTGAAACAAATTGAATAACGAAGTTTATTTTGTCTTACCAACAAATTATAGTTTGAATATTGGATGTACTTTAATGCCAGCCTCAGAAGACGGTGGCTGTATTTTTGCTTCAGCAAAATAGACAGCATGATCTTGAAAATCATCGACAAATTCTGCAAAAACCGTAGTTGCGTATTCTCCAGATTGCTTGAAAAATTCCAAGACAGATGCCTCTGACACCACGGCAATGCGAACTATCCTTTGTTTGTTGTTGAGTTTAAATTCGAGCCTGCATGATTCACCAGAGGGATCTGATTTCAAGGCCACACAAGTGTCCAAAGACACCACATCATCCAGATTTGTACTGTAAATAGTTATAACTATTTATAATAAGTAGAACTGATAAAATATATTTTTTTGACAACTGGAAATATTACAATACTTATAAAAGCTATGATTTAGACAAAAAAACATTTTTTTTTTTTTTTACTAAAACAAAAATTGTGCAACAGTACCTTTCAGGAGCTTGTAGTATTGAAACTGTTGAAACGCAATCACTAAAATTTTTGCTGTTATTGATTTCCCAGTTGGAGGTCGTTATAACAGTTGGGAGACTAGCTTGTTTATTGAATGAAGAATTGTTTTGTGATTCTTCGTTATCACTACGTTCTGACTCCATGACAACGAGAGGAGGAATAGATTAGTTTCATGAAGAAATAATCCTGTAACGTTGCTTTGCGTATTGTTTTACAGCAATAATAAATATCATTTCAACAAGTTGAAAGTTACAACTAAATTTCAAAGTCAACGACAATAGTTTTGCATGATTTTTACTGTTTACTCTCACATGACATGTTTTCAAGGCACTCAGCCTGACTCCGCAAAGCAGCCGGCCAACGCATTGGTAAACAATCAGGTTCGTAGAGTCCAAATTGTTTCTTTCGTTCCAGTTCGCATGGTTTCAGCTGTTTCCAGCACACAATTGCAGATGATGCAGCCGCGTTACCACCACGACCTACGTATAACTTTACAGCCTCTGATTTTATCATTCTGGTAAAGAGAGCACGGTGTAAGATGTACGTGAAGTTACGTGTAGTAATTAAAGTAATTACTACTAAGTAATGCCATATGGTCGATTTTATTAAACCATATGAATATCTATATTTTTGGAGGTCGACTTTTGGGTAAAAAATAGATTGTAAACTTGCCGCAAATAGCACAGATCACGTCAACTTTTTGTTATCTATCTATAATGTAAGTTGCGGCTGGTTTATAATTAATTAAATGGCTCTAATATAAGAAGTAATAATTATTTGGATCAGCGCCATCTAGCGGTATTTATTTTTTGGCCAAAAGTAGCTTCTAAAATTCTGAATCAGACCAATCAGGATCAGAGCCACTTAGTCAATTATAAACCAGCCGCAATTCATGCTGAAGCTATAAAATGAAAAAATAACGATACATGTGTTTTTGGCGGCAAGTTAACAATCTGTTTTCTACCAAAAAATTGACCTCCTATGTGTTTGTACTTTTAAAGATAAATTTTTGAGTAAAAAATAAATTGTTAACTTGCCGCCAAAAACACATATATCGTTATTTTTTCATTTTATAGCTTCATCATGAATTGCGGCTGGTTTATAATTCACTAAATGGCTCTAATCCTGAATGCTCTGATTTAGAATTTTAGGAGCCACTTTTGGCCAAAAAATAAAGACCGCTAGATGGCGCTGATCCAAAATAATTTTTGCTACTTACAGTAAAGTCACTTTATTAATTATAAACCAGCCGCAACAAATCTTATAGATAGATAATAAAAAGTTAACATTTTTTGTGCTACTTGCGGCAAGCTTACAATTTATCTTTTACCTTAAAATCGACCTCCAAAACCATCAATATTCTACTTATCTTGTATGGCTCATAAAATCGACAATATTTGCAAAATTACAATACTATAGACCTTTTACCATTAACTAATGAAAGCACAAATTAATCAGTCCAAAAGAGACCACCGAAGAAAAAGGGCCTGAAAAAGAAGCACAGTCACACGAAAAGTCTCATAAGAATATGGAGCATTGGATCTCACTTGATCAGAGAAGGTTGGGTTCTTTGTTTACTTGTAACACTGAAAATTTACATCTCTGTAATAAATGTATTTTTCAATTAGTTAGATCCAATGCTCCATTCCTAGGAGACTCTTCGTGTGACGGCTTCTTTTTAAGACCTTTTTTCTTCAGTTGTCTCTTTTCGACTGATTAATTTACGTGTATATTTGATCCTGATTTACGATTTCTGTAACACAAATTTTGCTATGTACATATTATATAAGT